ATGTGAAAAATATGGTGAAACAAATGAACGCTGTGCTTGCTGTTATTCCGGGAGGTCTGACAAAGGAACTTCAGCCAGCCGTTCAAAGTAAGGCTGCGAGCGGCGTGGGAGCGATGGATGACAGACGGAGACCACAGTTTCACGAAAAGTGGAAGGCAGCGCCGGGCAAGAAAACAGACGATGATGACTTCGATGGGTTTGATTAATACTTTGCAATAAATACATGAATAAAGCACAAATATACTCAGTTTTGCTCCCGCCCTATTTTTAAATACGCAGTAGAGGTATTTAAATGTAGTAGAGGATATGTACCTGTATATAAACACATAACTGAGACTGCGCCTTTTAGTACGGTGCACCTTATGGTCGTGAAAATACGGTAATCTTTTTTTTGGGGTGGGTGATAAACAGCAGCTAGGTTAATACTGTGATCAAAGACTTATTTTTATGCAGATCAGGCGCCTCCGGCTGCATGGCTGCCCCCTCAGGAGCAGCCATGCGCCTGAGGGGAGCAGCTTTAACTGATGTTTCGTAATGCCCATTAAATTAAGCTTGTGCATTATTTCACTGGCATTACGCTGTCATGTGTTATGCATAAGTGAGGCTGTCATTGGACATAAGTTCTGGACTCGTTATGAATGCTCTATGTATACACCCTAATTTGAAAAAACACAAAGAAAGTTCAGCGTATGCCAGCGTTATAGAAGATTCTGGTTCGCCCGGCATATGCTGGCTAAATCGGCAAAGTGTGAAAGTGTGACAGGGCCCTAAGATGACGAAGACTCAAATGTACACAGTAATAATGACTGCTCTCCTGCAGAGTACACATGGCCACACCATGAAACAGTTCATGGACATTTTCTCCCTGCCGGAGATGACACTCCTGTCTTGTGTCAATGACTTCTTCATGAGGCACAACATCGATTACGAACCCGTCCATCTCTACAAAGATGTAAAGGTAAGGGTGCCTTAGGCTGGTGGCATCTGCTGAATCCAGCTTATGCCAGTGATATGAATCCTATTTTAGAGTGCTTTTTAAAATCGTATGAATATTTTTTTTTGCATTTCTTCTACATTGCTTAAAGTTGAATGTATTTTATGAGGACTTTGTGTGGTAACCGATATTGAACAGGTTGCCATTGCTTTCACCGTTGCTCACAAGTAAATACCTGTAAATTGTACATTTCAGTTCAGCCTAACAGCTGCATATGATAGAGGATATGTTTCTAAAGAATTTGCTCATCTGTTGATCTTGCAAAATAGCAAATCTGACAGGAGATAAAGCATACCTGTAAGATAAGTTTAGTTTGAAGTTTGCAACAGACTGTTGGATTTAGATCTGTAGATCAGACAAAACCCTTATGTTTGGGTTAAAGCCATCTCACTGTTTGTTTGGGGTTGTTGCAAAAAGTGAAACTCTTTACAATCTTTTGCTTCCACTGAAAAAGTACTGTTTTAAAGTCATCCCCCTAATAGTTTAAACACAGTACAAACAGTGCATGTTGGTCAGCTTTGGCTTAATGTCTTTCCATGCAAGACTTGCAGCAAACTATGAAATTTGTAAATTATGTATCCCCTATGGCACCAGTGCAATAAAAAAATATTTAATTTACCATTAAAGCTTGTGTTTGTAATAGAAAAAAAAATCAGGGATATAAATAGCTATGTAAGACTAATAGTGCATGAGTGTTGACGTGTTTACATGTTGCAGTGCGCTGCAATGCTGCAGCCATTAAAAGCGGTCTTAATTTTAGCTCTAAAAAGGCAGCGTCTAATTTTAGTCGAGCAGTTTTGCCACCAGCCATGTGGCTCTGGTGCTTCACAGGGACAGCGGTGAGAAATCGCCGCTGTTAGTTCTCCCTCGGAGGCCTGCTGTCGTGCCGCTCTTGTTTGTTCTCTGTGACACCAAAGCATTTTTTTTTTGACGGAAAGCTGTCCTTTAAACCCCCCCCCACACGTGCTGTGTTTAAAGAATCCATCTCAACTTCCCAAGGACGATCTCCTTGATCTCTCTTTATTTAAGAGTCAGCTTTGACCTTTTCGTTTTTCAAACCTTCTTTGCTTTTAAATTTTTAATTTATTTGCCGAGTCTTTGAATATGATGGTTTAAGTGTTTCATGTTTTCTCACAGCAACAAACGAAGCATCTAAACTCCTGCTTTCTTCCTATTTCATTCGTATTCAGGAATAAGCTCGCTTGTGCTCCAAGCCAATTGTTTATTTACAGAGTAAAGTTGCTGTCAGAGCTGAATACTAACTGTGTATTACTGACGTTCTAGCTAAGTACTGTTTGCTTTTCCTTTTTGCAGGAAGCTATCAGAGATGTCCATGTCAAGGGTATTATGTATCGAGCTGTGGAGGCAGATATTGGTAACATTCTTTGAATAGAGATTATGAAAAAAAAAAAGATAAGACCTTATCTTAGAAGGTGCAAACACATAGTTTCAGCTTTGAGGGGTCATGATATTTAGATAGAAAGCACAATAGATTAGTACTACTGACCCTTCGCTTTTTCTTTTTTTTTCCAAGGGAAATACATTTGCTACGGTGAGCAAAGCCACGCTGTGTTGAAGAAGCTGTCGGCACATGGAAAGAAGATGTTCCTCATCACCAACAGCCCTTTTGATTTTGTGTGAGTAAGCTGCAGCCGTGTTTGTTTACAGTAATACTGCTAGTTAAAAATGTTCTTTAGTCTTAATGTTAAACTTGTGGAGCTGTGTTACTGTCAGGTCTAAGCACCTAAAACATCATACATACATACATACAGGGAAAGAAAGAAGGTACAGAGACAATTAATTTAGTTTTACTCACGAGGAGAGTAGTAAGAGACTGCGGAATTTATAAATCTCCAGCCCACTCTGCCAGTTTTTAGCTTTCTCCTCGTTATTTATTAAAAGTCAGAGGGGGGGGTCCCTATTTACACAAGCTGAGGTTGCGCTAAAGGAATAGGAAACAAGAAATACAAATCAATTTGCAGCCTCAGTGAACAGGTCAATTTGCATTTAAATGTCTTGCGTGGTCCAAGGTTAAGCTTGAGCAATACTTCCTGATAGTTGACCTATACTGCTTGTGCTACACCCCCTCTGGAACAGTAATATGTCACACATTATACATCATAAGAACAAACTTTAAGTATCTTATACATAATTATTCCAACAGGTACAGTGTGTAGCTGAAGTGAGATAAAATAAATGGAGAAGTTTAAAGCTAGGTTTAAACTCAGTGCCCTAAACGGGGTGCGAGGAAGATGGCAGCAGTGATGAAACTACATCATCTCTGCGTCATTTCACTGACATGCAAACATATCACATAAATAAATCCCTTCTTGAAGAACAGAAGGGAGAGAGAAACAAAAAGTAAAGCAACAAAGAGAAAAGAATAAGAGAAACATAAATGCCAGTTATAAAGTTGGTACAAATGAATGGTGTTGAAACTTTTATAGCTTTTTTTTATTATTATTGCTTGACTCAAAAATTGCATATTGGTACAGTTTATTTTTGATTTATTTATTTTTTTTTATACTCTTTATTTAACATTTTTCATTACAATAAAACATACAACACACACAGAACTTGGGGCACTGATACTTAGATAAGTAGAAAGGGTACAGTTTTACATCCTTCATTATTTTAATCTACTGAGTTCGACGCTTTGGAAGAAAAAAGAATCAGGTTGATAAGAATGTTTTCAATAGTGCAAACAGTCCTTTTTCGGTGTGTGAACTTCTCTGAAGTGTTTCCTCTCTCGAGTTATGTGGAGCAGTGTTTCCCAGTCAGGGTTACTCGTACACCTAGTGGTCCGCGAGTGCATTGTAAGGGTTAACTGAAAATATTTTATTTCTTAGGTAGTAAAATAAAATGGGGCTGGGACCTGATTTGCTTTCTGAGGACCCAACAAGCTTTAAAAAAAAAAGAAATAGAAAATTGCCTGGGATCAGCTGTTTTTAACACTGAGCTATCAGAGCTCATCAAAGCAGCTCAGG